CTCTTACCTATCCTTCGCATTTCCCTAAAACTAGAACATCCCGCATCCTTAACTATTTGTGAACAGTAATCTGATCTAGATCTACCTCTATTCTTCTTAACTCCTATTTCTGCTTCTAAAATGTCTCTAATTAGCATCTATGCTTAAGAAGGTTTCTTACAAACCTATCTTCCATAGCGCCCTCTGTTCTCCTGCTCATTCTAATACTTCCTCATTTCTATCCACAGTATCCTCATCATTCGCGTCACACTTCAAACGCTTCTAACCTTTTTCTCCGCGCTCACCGTCCACGTTTCAAACCCGTACAGCGACATGCTTCAGACACACCTATACCTTTAACAATCTTTTTCGAATTTCTGAATGATTCGACCCTGCGCTATCGTTTGCTTTAAATCTGTACTACTCCTTCCATCCTAAATTATCTGACTTCGTAGATACTGAAAATCAGCAACCGTTATATTATAAATGTAGTTTGTAAAACAACAAATAAATCTCGCGTGCCGCAAAAATGTTCAAGGAGGGCTGAATGCGGGCCGCGAGCCGCGGGTTGACCACCCCTGAGTTATATCATTGCTTAGCATTCAATTGGCAAGTAGATGCCTTGTCAAACAGTATAAACTACCGCAGTTAGCAGCAAATATCTAGAAAAGGAAATACACTCATGTACTGCTAGCTGTTTCATAATTTTGAAATATACTAATAAGCGCTAATAAGTTTGAAATGGCTATCAATGCCTTGCGACTTCAATGAATTGCTGACGAAAAGTACAGTGTTCGTTATAGATACGTATTATACTTTTTAGTTTTATAATTAAAACCATTTCATAATAATCGTCCACTGCATGAACTATAAGTGTGCTATTACTTTACATTAATCAAACATAATTACACGTATCTGTGTACTTTGTTTTCCGCGTTGTCATTTGCTACGCATTGACATACCATTAAGGAGGAAATAAATTTGAAAGCAAAACTGAAAATATGGGGCGTATAATAATAAGGAACAAGTTAATTAGAATCATTCTATTTAATATGTTTCATTTTCTAGAAAAATTACTATTATTATTAGTATTGATTTGAGTAACCAAAGTATTATAAAGACCAAATCCGTATAAAGAAACATAAATATTAAAAAAGCTCATAAAATAAGATGAACTTCATTGAGTTTGTTTTATAATAGATGACGGGATGTTTAGAATTGTTAAGGTCTATAGTTTAACTTTTAATTTATAAATTATTGGAAAAGAAATGTTATTGTTCTATCTTCAGAATTCGAATAGAAATCTTGCGGAGTAGATTGTAATTATTTTTAATTTTGTAGGGTAGACCAGTTTGTCGTGGGCAAAAGTTCCACCACCCCTCTTCTGATTCCGTTTGTGTAAAGCAGCCGATTTTTACATTTTGACTTAATGACCTTTCCTTACTTGCAATACCATTGCCCATTTTTAGTTTTCTTAATATTTAGATAATTAATACACCTATATTAAACAATAACGCGTAAAATAAAAAATAGGTCACTTAATCGCAACACACTGTTCTGATTGAAATTATAGTCAAAATTGGATGTTATTTTATGTATGTATTATGGAATTAATATGATAAACTTTATTTTATATTTAGAACGGATTAGAGAAAATGTGTTCTAGATAACAATAAGGATATAATTGTTATACTGCATAATATATGTGTTATAGGAAGAGTAACTCTATGTAATCAATACTGTTCTTTAAACAGCTACACGTTATTGAAAGATAATAAGAAAGTGCTAAGGACAGATAAGACGATTTAAAAGGATTTAACAAAAGTTACATTGTCGTGTGCATTAAAATGTAACTTTATAATCCTCTTTCAACATTCAGATTATTTTTGAGGTCTCGTTTGTCTTTTATCAGTTAAAATGTGATTTATCCATATATTGCAATGCTATTTTTTTCTTATCAAATTTTTTGTGAAAATCGTCTGTATGATGTTATACAGAAGATACAGATGTTACCTAATATTTAATATTATGTTAACATTCATACGTAATATTTCATCGGAATTATATCAGAATTGAAAGTGATGTTACTATATGTAAGTGTATATAAGTTCTTCCTGTCGGCATCTTTGGTACGGAAAATTTTCTGTTTCAGGCTTTTCTGGATTTTTCACCAGCAACTTCGGCTGGTTGCGAGATTGTCAACTCGGTTAAAGAGAGTAAAAAACACCTCCACTCCTCAATTCCCACCCCAACTAATTCGAATCTTGGATGCACTCTAGTAACCCTTTTTATCGTTCCTCCACCCTGATCCTTTACGGGAGTGGAATGAAAATGTTAACAATTACCCTCAAAAGAACAAAAATATGAATGACTGCAGATCATAAAAGATAACATTTGGGAAAAGCATAAAATTTAATTTTAAATTATTTAATTCATGGGTTTCGGAAAGGAAATGCTGTATATTCTTCCCTTGGAGTGTAACATAATTTTTTCACAGACTCTATTATGAAATGGAATCCATAAAGTATTTATACATAGATACATATGTATAGAATTTCGACGTTTGCATGAGACAACTCGGTAACTATAAGAGATATAAAAAAATTAATAGCTGCTTCTCTATCTCTTTCTTTAAGACAAATATATTGGTGTTTTCAAAAACTTGCTATCGTCTTTTGTTTTTGAGTTATAAACAAAAGCTAAAAATTTTAAGTTTTGGCTACATATTTCGGTTGTTTGTAACATTAAAAGAAAACAACTTTTACGTTATTCAGGTACATTTTAATGTAGAATACAGTGGTGTCTGAAAAAAAAAATAAAAAATCAGCCCCTCCAACTGATTATGTTTTAGCTGAGAAGATAATAATATTTTTTTCCTTTTTCAAATATATACAATATGTGGGGTCGCATTCGGTGGGTAAGAGTTTAATTACGACAATAATCTTTTCATGGTTTAAAAACCCCAATAAATTTGTCTTAAAAAAATGTATTGAGAAGCGGCCATTAATATTTTTGTATCTCTTATCCTTATACAAGGGAAGGAAAAGAAGGGAAAGAGCGAATGTAAAGATAAGAGACGAAAGACTAGAAGAAGTGGCTGATTTTAGGTATCAAGGAAGTCAGATAAGTCAGGACTGAAGGAGTAGTAGGAATATAAAGCAAAGCATAACGCAGGGTCGAGTAGCCTTCAATAAAAAGAAATGACATCTATACTCGCGAACGGTTAATTTAGAGTTTTGAACAAGATTGATAATGGTGTATGTTACGAGTGCGGCGCTGAACGGGTGCGAAACATAGACGGTGAGCACTGCAGAAAAGAAAAGGTTAAAAGCGAGGAGAACAGAGGAAATCAATAAAAAATAGGCGAGATAAGTTGGTAGAGCACCTTCTCACGAGTGAAGGTCTGGTCAGAGACATATTAGAGGCAGAAACAGGAGTTAAGAAGAGTAAAGATAGACCTAGATTAGATTACTGCTCGCAAATAGTTAAGGAGGTGGGATGTTGTAGTTTTAGGGAAATGCGAAGATTAGCTCAGGATAGGAAGGATTGGAGGTGCGTGTCCAACCAGTCTTAGGACTGACGATGACGATGATGATCTCTTATATATAGCGAGTTGCTCTTTACAAACGTCGAAATTTGCCCACCCTGTACATACATACATATATACATACACTGATACATCAGACACCTCGACGGACTTTCTATAGTAAGACTGGCACATGTTTTCTCAATAATGGTCCGGAAACAAAGCTGTTTCCATTAAAAGATTCTATCAAACGTTGCTTTCAGCGCACAAACCTACGCACTGTCACAGCGATAACACTAATTAAAGATGCTCGATTGCCATAGGCTTATTAATTTCCAATCTTTCATGTGGAAAAGGCACACTCACACCGTACCGATAGGTACATACAGGGTGTTTCCCCGGAAATGCACATTGGCTATATTGTTATATTCGTGTTACTAGTATGCTGATCTAATTGGTACACTGAGTCACTAATTGTTAGTAACTTATGCAATTCATTTATATTTTATTATTTATAATATCTCAAGATTACCTTCAAGTAAGTTTTAAAAATAAGAAATTCACAGTAAATATGAAATATCAAACATCATGGAATATAGTTTTACCTAACAAAAATATAAAACGTTTGCTAGAAAATGTGGTCCACTTTTCCCTTTAGTGTGTAATCTAAATAAATAATCAGAGCTCGTTAAGGGAAAAAATTTAACACAGTATTATTTAAACTTCTTTTGAAAGAGTGAAAACCTAAATAAGTTAAAGGCCAAGTAGAATTATGACCTGGAGTCTCCAGGTATTGTTTAATATACATAATCAGTTGAGTAATTTAAATTAGTAGCTGTGACTGTTTTTAAAAATATTCAATCAATAATGAATAAAAGTCAAAGTTCTTTACTACAATGAAAAGATTCACTACAAGCTACTATGGAACTATGAATTTATGAATTTGATAAATCGACAGAAATTCTCCAGGTGTCAAATCTCCAAGCGATTCCTGTAGCGATTTACTTTCAGTTTCAATATCAAGACAATATTTGTAAATAATTCCCATTTTTATTTTTTTTTTAAAAAATAAAATAATCGAAATGTAAAATATTCAAGAAAAATTTAAAAAACATCAAAGCTAAGAAACATAGCAATTTTATCGTTGCAGATCAATTATTATGAGAAAAATTTCGTTACATTATAGATGGAAATGATAATTAGTTCCTTAAAAAAAAAAAAGAAAAATAAGCTCCTATAATTATTTACATTTAACACTTAATCTACTTAATTAATTAATATTATCTATGCTCAATTTCTACTTATATTTTTCTAAAATTAATTACCACTTCTAATTAATACTTTAATTTTTTATGAAATTGCTATCCAATACTTTCTACACTGTGTTCAATAATAGAAACAAATGTAGGTACTTACTGTAGAAGTATTTTTTTGGTTATTTGTTTGGCAGGTACCTAATTATTAATTTTTGTAGAAAAATTTATATAACACTTACTTGAGTCTTAAACAATTTTAAATTATGTCACTGGCTTTATGAGAGTCAAAATATTATTTGGCACAACTTTTGTGCAACACATAAAATTACGGACACAATTCGGCTAAATACTTAATTTACTTATTCGTAAAGCGAAGCAGTAGGCACCGGCGTGATTTTTGAAACTTCCGCGCCAACCGGCAACTAGCAACTGTTCGTGGCAAGCTGCGATTCTTGCCGGCGTCCGCTAGCAAAAGCTTTAGTTAGGATAGGAGGTATTAAACGAACTAACGGTGGAGACTGTCACACATGCGAATATAGATACGAGCCTGTCTCTTTTTCAGCATCACTTACAATATACTTATGTAGTACTTACATACAAGCGAATGTCATGTGCAATTTATATAAATAAAGTCCTAGGAATGTATTTCCCTGCCGATGCAAATGTAGACTGCTGGGCTTCGGATTTCGCATTCAAGTGCATTTTAAACGTAAACAAAAGTATCTGTTCGCTTTTGATTTAGAAAGAGTTGAAAAACTATTCTAAGATCATTGTATGTTTAAAATAACTTTTTAGTTATTACTCCTTATTAAATTCAGATTTATTACTACTTTGTCTTGAAAAATTTTACGGCACCTTTATCAATCAAAAAAACTTCCCAATAAATGCTTTTATTTGGAAGCTTTACTATCATAAAGCTGCGGTAAGAAAAGATAACACAAAAGATAACACAAACGAACTGGGTTGTTATGGCCATGTTCTACCTTTAGTTTTTAGAAACTTGGAACTAAACAAAATTAGATTAGATCTAGATATCTGGACAACTACAAACCTGCGGGTGTGCCAAAAGGGGCTCGCGCTTTAGGTTTATGTTGCTCCTGAAATTGGTGCTTAATGATGGGCAAAACAAAACTGAGACTAAGACTGTAACATTCATGGCGTTGGCCTTGGTCTGGATTATTAGGTCTTGGTCTTGGTACGGCCCAAATACAAGGTCTGTTCAAAAAGTATCGCGAATTTTGAGTTTCCGCGGGACATGTATATTCGATTTTCGATTTTTCGTGGAGTTATGTTGGTACTCAATTCTCTCATTTATACCGACAAATTCGGTCATTTTTAATGTTCAGTTAATTTTTGACCGCTGCTTTGCTTGCACGTGTTTTGTCTCGTCTTTGATTTTTGGTTATTCCAAAAAATGGATCAAAGAATCTGCATCAAATTTTGTGTGAAAAATAAAATTATGTGTACGGACGCATTCCGAATGTTAATTGAAGCATATGGTGAAGCTACCTTGGACCGAAGCAACGTTTATCGGTGGTACAAAAGGTTCTCAAAGGGTCGAAAAAATGTGAACGACGAATAGTGTGCCGGACGCTCGAGCATGTCAACAACAGACGAAAACATTGATGAAGTGAAGAAAATAGTATTGGCCAATAGTCAAATCACCGTTAGAGAAGTTGCTAAGGACTTAAACATATCGATTGGCTCCTGCCATTCGATTTTTACCAATGATTTGGGCATGAGATGGGTCGCCGCGAAATTCGTACCAACATTGCTCAATTTTGACCAAAATTAAGTTAACCCCCGCAATATTAAAAGAATACCGTAAAAAGGAAATGGTAACACCATAATAGAAACAAGTGGTAGTGAAGAATTTATTTAAAGATGAGAAAATTGCTATAATAATTCGTAAAATTTATCTTTAGAACTATGCAGAGGGTGGTGACAGCAAAGAATGACAATTTTGTAAGAAATATGGTTTATGATAAGGGTTAGAACCGAGCAAACGTGCCTTTTTGGACGAGACCCTCCCTACGAACGAAAATTCTGCGTATGCCCCTTGTTTCCCTTTACCTAATAAGCCCTTAGAGAAAAAATTACTGCTCTGTATAATACCACTAATTAAAGTGTTGATAAAGACATACTCAAATGTTATGGAGATAAACATTTGCCAACAGAATCATTACATTGTATTTGCCTTTTGCACAGTGGAAATAACATAAGCGGAAAGAAGTCTACCATCAGTATTATCTATTAAATAATAAAAGACAATTTTTAATAACTGAGCCCCAATTAGGATGTTCATTTGCAAGCTTTATTGTAGTTGAGGTTGAACTGTAGACGATATATTATATTTGTTTTTAATCGTTTTCTGACAATAAAACTTGATTAACGGATAAGTGAAGTCATCATAAAGTGTGTTCATCAAAAACTTGATAACTACTTTAACTGTTGTACTAAATGATCTGTTTGCGTGATTTTCATAATTCCTTTGAAATGCAAATTGTAATTTGTAGAGGAGATAAAATACAAAGAGTTCTTCATCGTCAGTAAAAAAAGTCAATAGAACTGCCTTACATTCATTCCTTAATTGTCCATTGAATTCCAATCGCTCTATAATTAATTTAATTAATTAACGTATACGTTCATTGTGTAATTGATTCGTTCGCATACCACGTATCTTTTCAATTATGACGTTCCTTTGTAACTGATGTACAAATATGTGTATCTATTATATACTTACGTTTATCTACAATCTACATAAATAAGTACGAACTAAAGAAATTTTAGAATGACGATTTATTACAATAACAGAATCAAAGGTTACGGTAGGAACTAAAGTTTACTTAACAAGCCAACAGAAACGATTCATCTTCTCGCCCTCATCCTTGTTTTGATTCCATTATTATGGTGTTAAAATATATGCACTTTTGTTAGATTAGAATTTCCGATTCTTCCTTTCCCACCAATACACCACTACTGTAATTCTCACGGTTAGAATGAATTTTGTAAAATCACAAGTTATTCACGATTTAGGTTTCACTACTGAAGATAATTTCAAACAAGAGACCAGAAATGTATGAAAAAGAAATACTCTATGTACCACAATCCGAGAAGCATTTTTTAATTAGTAGTAGTATAGTATAGTATAGTAGTATCATTTATGTATACCTAATGGATAGATAAAGTCAAATAAGTCAGGGCGGAAGGAGTAGTAGGAATATTAAGCAGAGGATAGCGCAGGGTCGAGTTGTCTTCAATAAAAAGAAGTCACTTTTATGCTTGCGAACGGTTAATTTAGATATTCGAAAAATATTGTTAAAGGTTTGGACAGTGGGCGCGGCGTAAAGAATAGGTTAGAAGTGTTCGAAATGTGGTGTTACAGGTGACTGATGAAGATAGAGAGAGTTAGAAATGAAGAGATATTAGAAAGAATAGGAGAACAGAGAACTTATGGAAGTCAATAAAAAATAGGCGAGAAAGATAGGTAGGACACCTTCTCAGACATGAAGGTCTAGTCAGAGTAATATTAGAGGCAGAAACGGGAGTTAGGAGGGGTAGAGGTAGACCTAGGTTAGATTACTGTTCGAAAACAGTTAAGGATGTGGGTTGTTCTAGGTTTAGGGAAATGCGAAGATTAGCTCAGGATAGGAAGTAGTGGATGTGCGTGTCCAACTAGCCTTAGAATTTAGAACGACCTTATGATCATGATATCGGCAAAACTCGTGGGTAATAGCGTTAATTTCAATGAATTGAAGTAGTAGTTGTCAGATATCAAATGTCTGGTGCGCGACGCTGTACAGGTGCGAAACATAGACGGTGGGAGCGGCTGAAAAGAAAAGGTTAGAAGAGTTTCAAAATGTGGTGGTACAGGCGAATGATGACGACATCGTGGATAGAGAAGGTTACAGAGGAGGAGTAGCAGAAACAGTAGGCGGACAGAGGGCGCTATGAGCGTCAATAAGAAATAGGCGAGATAGGTTGGTAGGACATAAAGTGTTGGTTTAAAGCAAGTTAGAAACAGGAGTTAAGAGGAGTAGAGGTATACCTAGATTAAATTATTGTTCATAAATGGTTAAGGATGTGGAATATTCTCGTTTTATGGAAATGCGATGATTGGCTCAGGATAAGATAAGTGGAGGTGCGTGTCCAACCAGTCTTATTGCTGTTGATATTTGGATGATGATGATGAGCATTAGCTTATGTTGTCCAAGGAAATTGCAGGAAAACATGGCCTAAGGCAGACGGACTCGGGATCGAACTTATGTTATCCAGAATGCGAACTAATAGTCATGCCGTTCGGTGAATTATTAAGAATTGATAATCAATAAATTTGGATTAACTTATGAATAGGTCAAAGACTATACCGATAATTTTTCTAATTTTCAACCCGCTAAAACTTTTTGACTGAATTTTTTTTCCATAGGTAAATACTTTAAATAACGTTTTGTCTTTTTAGAAATAAAATTTCACTAAAATTGATGATGCTTTGTGAAATTTCATTACCTTATTAGTTTAAAAATCGTAGTGTTTTTGAAAACACGTTTCCAAAATTATTAACTTTACGTAATGAAAGTTCAGTTATCCATTTATATGCGTACATTAAAAGCTTTATTGTTTTGTTTTGTATTTAATTGAGCGTTAAAATGTGATACGAATAACTGATAGGATCATATTTTTAATAACAAACGTCTGAGCTCAAGAAATGCTTTTATCAAGACAACCGACACTGTACAGAGGAGCGAACTTAATTGCGAAGTTTCTTGAATAATATAAAGCAGAAACCGTCTGTGCTCATCTAAATCTTTAAGTGCTATTGACCAAAGGTCTTTTTCCATGTCTAATTCAAGAATTATTTAAGCGCGAAGTTTTAATTTTCAAGTGAAAGTGTGTAAAATGTAGAATTACAATTACCTACCTATTAACTATTGAGGTTCAGCGTAAACTTCAAAAAACAGCAAGTCGACTGTGAAAGTTTCAATGATGCTATCTAACTAAAAGAGAATAGGAGAAAGTTGTGAACTTTTTTTAAAAAAAATATTTAAACGTGGCACTTTATTTTGCTGATGGATATTTATATTGACTTTCTCTACAGAGGAAAATAGACTAGGACGTCATGGTTACTATTAAGAAAAGCTTCATGTAGGTTAATTTTCACAATGGTGGAAAAGCAAAGGAATTTGTAGGAAAAAATAATTTGATATATCTGTTATTTAAGTAAAAAAAAGTGCAAGTCGGACACGCGCACCCACGGTTCCGTACAAAATTGTAGGTGTGTACAATAGCTCGTCCATCACGGGATTCGAGAGTCTTCGCGTTTTTCCGCCTTTTAAGTCTCCCCCAAAATCAGACTCCAAACCGTTTAATTACAGTATTACAATTAAAAAAATTTTTTGTTGCGACTACTAGATTTACAGTTTCCGGATTTTTCCCTTTACTTGTGCTATAAGACATTGCTTCATACCAAATTTCATGATTCCTGATTAACAGGAACTACCCCATA